GGACCAATCTCATCCCGACCAGTTACAATCGCCACAGGAAACAACTGGAGAGATCAATACCTTGAATGATATACCTGACATGCATGTCACTGATTCCCTCCCAGCTAATTCTGCACCTGCCCCGGCATTCCCAGACCGAGAGATTATCGTACTCATGGAGGGAACCTATCCAGATGTTATTGAACCCCTCCAGTGCAAGCGTTCGTACCGTAGCACTTCCTTTCCCATCGCACCAAGTGTTCATCAAATGCTACCGGAATCCAAGGGAGACCCTAACGAGCGGGATCAACTTGAAACGGAATATGAACTAAGATTGAAGTACGCGCTTTTTTACGTATTCTTCGGTGATTTTTGCCTCACGCTACCTCAGGACACTGGAGGAATTGAGGAATCACAACCACAGGCTCCGTCATCGGATGCAGCGAGTTGCTGTCGATGTCCGGGAATATGAGCTAGTTTGTTCTAGCGTGATGCCGTCACTAGGTATCGCGTATCGTAGTCTCCCGGTGGAATTACTCGATGCCCTCAGCCACGATCCCTCGGCTGTGACCAGTGGGACCCGTAAACGCCAGGGTTGGAGGGTCGTCGAGGACATACATGCGCGGGTGCTCCGACAACGCGAGATTCTCACGAGTTTCCTGTCTGGAGTGAAGACTAATACCGATGCGGTTTCTATATCGGAAAATGTCCTCGATAACCCGATTTCCACTCTCGTGGAGAAGCTGCAAGCACTTGAAAGCGAGCGAGAACCCCTGCAGGAACAAGCCAGTGAAGTGTCACGAATGTTGGTGGAAGTCAGGGCATCCCATTCGACTGTCAAAGAAGAATACAACGATGCTCTGTCTTATACATCCGTTGTGTATCCAGAGGTCCTTTTCTATTTTCCCCTCACGTTCACCGCGCTTACTTTGAGGATGTTCAGCTTTCGCACATTGTTGCATTAGAAGAGAGCTACAGGGATCAGTATCAACAAGTCTGGGAACTTGGCATGGACGCTTTGACTGTCATCCTCGATACGATCACTCCATTCTGGAGAAGCTACGGCAGAATCATAGGGGAAGATATGCAGGACTTCATAATCATTCCCTGGTATCGAAATGAATTTACCGGAGAATCCAAGCGCTACCCAGTAAAATCGGTTCCTCGTCGTTCTCTTCGTCATTGGGTTGCACTTTTCAGCTTTGGTGCCCTCACCTTCTTCATCACGTTCTTGCAAGCGCGGGCTGCGGTCACATCAGCATGGCACTATCGACTTCTATGGATCGAAAATCAAACATTCCGTTGGGCCATTATTCCATTCTTCTGGGTGGTGATACTCATTCAATGGCTTGCTCTCGTGTTTGAGTTTTGCGTTGTCCTACTGCACGTTTCTGTCAGCGCGTGGTGGTTGGGATGGTTTATAGGGATATGTACATGAATATCTGGATGCTGATCAGACCAATGTCCCGTCACCACTTGTAGCTACGTATACTATTATTATCTATTTCATGCAGTCGTTCACTTTACTGAGCCCTCTTGTCGGACTGAAAGTCAAGGATCAGGTGGGGTCTCTACAGGTGCTGGCACCGGCTGCGAACTGTCATTCGTGGGCGACTTGTTCGAAATGGTCACCCCGCTAGCTTGAGAGGTTTCTCCAATTTGCCCACCCTCTACGCAAGGTCGGCAATATCCTGGGTATACAATCAATCTGATTACCAAATATGAAGTGGCCTTCCGCTTACTCCCTCCCATGATCAAGGGTACGTTGGCTTGACCACACGCAAAACAAGCAATTTTCGGTGGAACCTGAGTCTTGGATTGCGTTTGCCGCTTGCGCTTTGCTGTCGGGGAACCTGAAGGATCTTGTGCGGACTTACGTGGCGCAGATCTTCGTTTTGGTTTCCCATTTTCTGTTGAAGGCTTGATTGGTTTCATAGCATATGACGGCAGGGCAGCCTGAGACAGCGATATCAGCATACTTCGACGTATGATAGTCACATGCGTACGTTTTGTATCTGGGTGAGTTGCGAACCTCCGGGGAGTCGATACGCCAAGTATTTTTGTTCAGGCGGTTCCTACGACAATGAGACAGTAAGAAAAACAAGAGTAGTCAAAGGTTAAGGGAGAAAATACTACAATTTCCTTGAGAATTTTGCGATTTTCCTCCATTTTTTCCATGGAGCCCACCCAGCGCGAAAAGGTGTCCCAGATATACGAGCTTGCCATCTTAAAATGGAATTCGACGACCTGCCTCGAGGGTAACTCCGTTGGAGCACTCGCTTCAGACGCAAGGGGATCTTGCGGTGGTATCATGCTAGGGAATGGAACGATGGTGGAGACAGTGAGGTCACTGAATGACCCAGCATCGTTGAGTGGAGAAAAGTCCCATGCAGCGGGTCCGCGAGGAAATACCCAACGATCGGAAGGGGCATCTCGGAACTCTATAACAATATCAAAGTCCTTGGCAGGTGCTTGGTATTGCTGTGCCGTTGCGGGTGCTGTCGCAAGTGGCGTACTCGACGAGTCAGTTCCTGGTGCGCTTGACTGTGAGGCAGCCGCGGGAGCGCCCGTTGCCGGAGAGCCAGTTAGTGATTGGATAAGAAGACCAAGAGTCTTCAGCTGATCTGGCGTCGCCCGCCCTGCAGCAGCAAGTTGTAACAGGTTTGCAAGGGTTGGATTTGACGTCGCTGCAGCATTAACATGAGAAATCAAACCGGGAGGTACGGGTAGGCTAGAGGATAAAGATGACAATAGTGGATTAGATTCCCCGGCAGATGCAGGCGATGAGGATGACAGGGTCTGTGGTTGATGAACTGCCTGCGACAGTGGATTTCCTGGCGCTGACTGGTACACAAACATTGTTGGTTGTGAAACCGTGACGGGAAACGAGCGGTAGTGAACTTCGAACACTGTTGTATCCATAAACAAGTGGGGTCCAATCTGGAGAGTGCATCTGCCGCGGTTATAGATCGTGTGTGGCGGTGGCACGACATCAGGTTGCTTCCCTCCTCTTCCGCGACTCGAGAACTTTGGAAACATCGAACGAAGCCATTTATCCCTTGCTGCGATGATTATAGTGAGCGATGGTCATGCTCCAGCAACTGGTTGGTCTTACATTGTTTCAGTGATTGCAAAATTACAAAGCTGAGCAAGGTCAGGCGAGATCGCAAACATATCTATAGACGATTGCTCACCTTTCCGCAGGTGATTTCAGATCTGAAGGTTCACTGTCGCTGCCACCGACCTCCCAGTCCGGGACATCGCCAACGGGTAGTTTCAGTGCTTGACCGCGAATCATAAGGTGTCTATTTGGTCCTATTGTGGCACCGACGCCTTCAAGTCCGTAACCAACGTAAGCGACACTCCTGAGCAGCGAAACATGAGCACGCGTGTTCGTGAGTCTTTCTAGCTCGTCATTCTCCTTTAAAACAGGTCCAACACAACACACAGAGAAAGGCGGAACCTTATTTCGTCCAGTCACCAAAGCGCGGCCTCGCGCCATCGACAGCACTTCAACACAGTCATCGGTATCGCTGGACAACCGTGTCTTGCATCCCCCGTCTGAGGAACATAAGACCCCGCTTTCGGTTCCTTCAGATAATGCTCTCGCCATCGTTATCTCCCCACCATCCACGGTACTCCCCCAGTTTTCGCTGCAGGGGAGCATTGACCACACATTTCCTGCTGCCATTGCAAATACTACCAAGCAGGGCGTTCCGATTGTCATATCCTCTGCCAGACTCACTCCAGTAGCACAAGCAACTGAATCTCGACCTCCGTCTATTGTCGAGGAAACTACTGCGTCGGCTGGTCCCTCCCGTGCTGAGGTTCCGAATGTCGAACAAACTCACCCTCAAGGTAAAAGGAGGTCGCGATCCGAGTCGCTAGCTACCACTTCTCCAAAGAAGCATAGAAAGGCGCGCCGACCTACAACCCCAGGGTTCGATGCAGATGCAGACCGTGGCGAGGATCTAGACCCGACGTCTATCACTATGGCCGCCTTGTGCGAAGATACTGGTCAGGGCCGCATAAGCAGCAAGGCAGCACAAATTCTTGACAACCACCTTGCCTGGAAGAAGTCCAGTAAGGAGAAAAGGACGAGGATGAGAACGCTCATGGAAGCGAAAAAGTATGGCAGAAATGAGGATGGTGATAATACACAAATGAGGCTCCCAGAAGCTGAATCGGACGGTGCAACACCTGGGGAACCATCCACACAGCCAGTCTCTGGGAATCCCTCAGCCGTCGAGGATACCTCCGGGCAAGGTTTCGACTATTCCAAAAATGTTGCCACTAGTCGATACAATGTTCAAGTCCGAATTGGTCCCAGTGGAGAGACTATCATTGATGAAGAGTCCTTGTTTGTCGATCGCAATGCCGAAGCGGATACCACAGAGTACACCCATGTTGAAGAGTCCGACGTCACAAAGTTCGTCAACTCCGCTACATACGCGAAACGCTTCCGTGGATCACGCTGGAGCGCCGAGGAAACCGAGTTATTTTACGATGTAAATTTTGTCTTGTGTGGCTGTCTAGGGTGAAATTGACGCTTTTCCAGGCTCTGTCACAGTTTGGCGAGAATTATGAACTTATTTCATACGTATTGCCTGCTCGGGATCGTAAAGCATGTAAAAACAAATTCAAGACTGAAGACAAGAAAAATCCTCAGCGAATAAATTACTGTTTGAACAATCGCAAGCCGTATGGTTCGTATTCCCCTCTGAAAGTCGCTCGTCTTCTTACTCACGTCCAAACTCAGATATCCAAACCTTGTCCCGTATGACCGGGAAAGACTTCAGTGGTCCTACCCCCGAGATACGAGCCCCAGCAGCGTTGTCGTTAGCAGAGTCACAGAACAATTCGGAAACCAATCAACCTCCAGTTCCAGGACAGACCTTGGGTTCATCATCGACTACTGTTGAGCATGTTGAAGAGGTCGTCGGAGACATCTCTAGTTTTGATCCCGTGTGAATGAAATCTACCTCTATTCCGATCAAAGTTTCAGACGGCAAAACATATGAGCCGGGGTAGCTCAGCTGGGAGAGCAACAGACTGAAGACTTGGTCGTTTTCTGGAGGTCCCGTGTTCAATCCACGGTCCTGGCATTTATTTTTCTTGCATCCAAGTTTGGATTTTGGGAACGTAGGCTCTGAGAAGTCACCGAGACACCTGGCGATAGCGAGATAGAGTTCAGAAGGGGCTCGGCGCTCGCTCAACATTCAGCTCGTCATGCCAAAATACCACGGATGCTGTTTACTTGGATTCTTCCAACATACGTCGCCTCTCAGGCTGATTGTCAAGTGGGTCCCATTGAGTGGGGCATATATTCAGTTCTCCTTGAAGCGAGTCCACCTCAAGTACTTGCAGGTTTCAGGTTAGTGGATCGAGATCACGTCGACAGGCCACAAGTTACCAGCTGATCCGGTGCTGGCTTCGTAAAGTTCTGTGGAAGCGATCTAACCCCTCACGTGACAAACGCGTCTGTCCTATTTGAATGCGTAGGCGAATTAATACTGTGCCATCCCGTTCTTCCAGACGACCTCGGACATCATCTCGATAAATATGGCCCCGCGTCGTGCTACCGCCGTGCCCGAGGAGAGCGTGCCCCCACCCAGCCGGCCATCGACTCCTCCCGCGATGGATGACATCGAGGAGGTAAGCAGTCATCCCAACACCGTCGCCATCGACAGGATACCATTCTTTCCAGACGCCCTTCTTCGACAACGTAGACGAGCTCCAGCAACAGGTATGACCGTACCTCCAGAACTCCCATGACTCTGACCCCTTCAGGGTATAAACGTGCAAGACATCCTGAAACTCAAGGTAACATACTTTTTCGTTCTACCTAACGTATCTCACACGTCTCTTAGGGTGCCGCAATCCATACTATATCCGGAGTCGTGATGACGACACGTCGGCAACTCCTCAAGATTAAGGTCAATATTATGAGTCTTCGAAACGGTTTGAATGCTCATCGCCGTCACATCGTAGGGCATGTCGGAGGCGAAAGTCGAGAAGATCAAGGTAACAGAATATATGCGCTCAGGGCCACTCGACCTTACCGTTCCTCCCATCCAGGAAGCCGCACAGAAAATAGCGGTATCTGATTTGTCTCGAACGCGATGTAGAGACTCACTCATTCACGTACAGGGTTCCTCGTTCGCAACAGGGGTTGAAGTTCAAGACCGTCGGAAGCGCGTCCTTGTGATCACTACGGGTAGCAAATCTGTAGATGCCATTCTCGGGGGTAACAGTATTTCTCGCTTCCTGTCAGCCAAAAAAAAAATAACTTGAGTTGTCTCAAACAGGCGGAATCATGTCCCAGTCAATAACAGAAGGTGAGGACATACCATCAATGATCGTTGGTTCTAATGGGATTCTACTCGGGAAAGTATATGGAGAGTTTCGCACAGGAAAGACGCAGATGGCCCATACAATGTGCGTGGTAGCACAACTCCCACCCGAATTGGGAGGGGCGTCAGGGAAGGTATGGTGCTCGTGTTCAAGATCACACTACTCCTGCACTCAACTCAAATAGGTGGCATACATCGACACTGAAGGCACGTGAAGATAGTCCATCCTATTATATGGAGCTCATAGCATTCCAAGGTACCTTTCGTCCTGATCGCATTCGGTCGATTGCGGATCGCTTTGGCGTAGACGGGACGATGGCGTTAGAGAATATTCTTTACGGTGTGCCACAACGTTTTCCGCTTGACTGCTGTTCATAATCTATTTGAAGCCCGAGCATTCAATAGTGAACACCAGGTTGAAGTTCTCCAGTGGCCTTCTCTGAGTGCTCACACAGAATATGTAGATGGAACTGATAAATGAGTGCTCCCTTCGTTTCGCCGAGGACAAGGACTTCCGCCTTTTAGTACGTCATCCCCCTGCATACTAGGTTGGCATCTGACTGTTGATAGATTGTCGACTCTATCATGGCCCTCTTTAGAGTCGACTTCTCCGGAAGAGGGGAGTTGAGTGAAAGACAGCAGAAGGTGCGCGTATACTCAAATACACAGCGCCAAAAAATGCTCATACCCGTGTGTGAACAAACCTAGCTTGCTCAGGTAATATTGGTGTGCGCCGAGGTACTGAGGTTCGCCATAATTAAGATTACTGTCTGTAGATGCTCTCGAAGCTCACAAAGCTATCCGAAGAGTACAACGTCGGTATCCAGATCTATTCTAGATTTTCCCATTGACCGACCCTCGGATAGATCGTGATTCTCATCACAAATCAAGTCCAATGTACAACCTTCAGTCTTTTCTCTTCCCGACGTTTTGGTACTGATTACCTCTAGCCGACCCCGGAGCAACCATGACTTTCGTGGCTGGTGGGGCTCTAAAACCAATCGGGGGGCACATTCTCTCACATTCTTCGGCGACTCGCATATTCCTGCGGAAGGGTACGTACACTAGAAGTAGTATCGGAGAAGAAAAAATAAACTAAACTGTTGCATTTCCGACACAGGTCGTGCAGAAGAGCGTGTAGCTAAACTGGTTGACAGTCCCGATCGCCCTGAAAGCGAGGCCTCCTATAAGCTGGACGAAGGTGGCTGGACTGATGTCTGAAAATCGTACCTCACCGCGAGCAACCCCGTCTCCTTTCTTGATGCTAAATGTTGATTTTGACCCCGATGCACACGCTGATATAGACCACTGATCAATTTATCGGACAGAGGTAATTCGGTCCGGGATTCCCTTTCGTTTCTTGTCCCTAAAAATATATCAATACACGTGTTGCGTTTCCCACCAATTCAACCCAGTTGTCTTGAAGATTGCCAACGCTTTTCACACATGCCTCAAATAGGCGTAAGTTTTCGTTATAAATGCCACTCTAACTTCCATCAGCAATTAGAAACCTCTCCGTACTCCTCGGTAATGTATCTCGAAGGCGAATACCGATCAGGTGATGCCAGTGATGTGTGTCTCCAGGGACCGGGGGAGCAGGGCTGAATCTCGCCACTGCGACTACCCTAGATCTGTAGGTTTTGAACACGGGCTTGAAGGAGTCATCCGATCAGATGATGGCCATTTGTTCATCAATCACTTGAGACAGATGGCATCCTCTAATTGCCCACAGGAGATTGCGAGCTCTGGCCGGATGGACCTGATTCAAACAAGCGGTAGCATGCGGTGCACTGCAAACAAAGAAGCACGTTCGTTTCGTTTTCTCGTAATGCTCGGCGTATAAAGTGAACCTGACAATGAATAGTGCAAATCCATCCTTTCACGTTAACATACTGATTATCACAAGCACAAAGTTGTTATTCGTTGGCGTAGTTCACGCAACTTGCCCGGGCCCGTTGTCGTCCCTCTACCCTAACATCCAAGCATGTGTTCAATGCTCCCAAAAAAAAATTACACCGCGCTCACCAATTCATGCTGCAACGCGGCGAATGGTGGCACTCTTGTTTCAAACTCAGTTCTGGGATACTTATACTGGTTTGGAGAGGTTTGGACAATTGCTTCCCGAGGGGAAGTTAGGGTATCCATGACCTATGGCCAGACAACTGTGATGGGTGAGCGCTTAAGCAAGCATCCTATACCCCGATCTACTGATTGCACGTATAAGTTCCTATGACCAATACTGCGATCTAGCGAGGCAATATGACCCCAATTTCCCTCCAAAACCCTTACCGACGGAACTATCGTCCCTCCTTACAACCTAACGTTAGGACGTTCATCGAAGAATTTTAGCGATACGACCTGTTGAGGTACAGTGAGTACATTTTGGCGCAGCCGGAGTGGACAGCGAGTGATTATCTTCATTCTTGACAGTGGACGCTTTTTGGATCAACCAAGACGCACCAAACGACGAGTTCTGGGCACATGAGGTTTGTGATTGCCCGATTATGCTATTACTAGCTTTCACTAACGAACGTGGTAGTTCTCGAAGCATGCGACGTGTACCTCGACGTTCGATGTTGCTTGCTACGAGCCTGGTTACAAGAAATATCAAGAAGTGGTTGACTTTTACGAGAAGGTGTTCCAGAAATACCCCATCTACGATATGTTGGCTGCGTACGTGCCGATCCACAAGGCTCCCATTTTGCTGACTCTTCTCTAGAGCCGGTATTCTGCGCGCATCACCAATCATGGGGAGTAACACTCGGATCATGACACGGAGAAAACGAACGAAGAAATAGGCGTCTGGACCGTTGATGCGCTGGATGTCTTGTAAATAATCCGGTCTTGAGCGGTGCGACACGTTCACTGTGAAATGAGCCAGGGGTCAGAGGGGGCATGGAGTTGGCATGTAATGGCGTACTCTTCGGCCGGGGTGATCGTACGGGGCTCATGTGAACGGAAATAGGTTTCGGAGATCGTTATTGCCTCCGAAAAGTGCTGCCTGAGATGGGACTTAGCTTGTTTGATGCTTAGTGTACTTTGTCGCTGTCTATAATCGAGGATGTTCGTCACGTTTGAGAGGTAAACCCGTGCTGACCAAGCATGCCGCGCAGCGAACGGCGCACACCACCGTCGAGGGCGAGTGCTCGAATAGCGACACGACCTGCTATGTCCCACGTCCGCATCTGTAAATAAGGTCTTTGCATGTTGTCGTCGTGAATCGTGACTGCCCTCACCTGGTCCAGTGGTCAAGAATGCTCCCTTCTCGAGTGCAGCAGACCATTGTGATGAGAGTATGGCCTCCGGCTGGTTAGAAATCGGCTCGAGCGGCTTCATGTCTGGGTCGAATTCGGAATCTGCCCTCCGAGAGCACCGCTGATGAGTCTTGACCTCGAGGGATCATATTGTACGGGTCTGGCAATGTGCCATGCCAGTGAGTGTGCTGTCTGGCCATGCACAAGCTGCCTTGATCGAGAGCATCAGTTTTCGAACGAGATGACGGGGGAAGACAACAAACGGAGATAGTTGATGGTCATCTTGCGCACCGGGAGCACAACTTTTCAACCAAGATCTTCTCGTCCTGTGAAGAGGTACGGAAGGCCTAGACCCTGTATTGAAGGGAAAAATATGACTCAGAGCTCGAGATGAGCCAGATAAGCCGGGCGATGAGGCAGGCCTTCTTGGTAGGTGTCTGGGCCGTTCGTGATGACTCACGAGCGGCGGGAACCAGCGAGACATTCGAGACGAGCGTG